TCCAGTCTGAGTCCAAGTATGAAAGCAGGAGAAGACTGACGTTCCAAGTCAAAGACAGTCAGGCAGAGAGTAAATTCTCCCTTTCTCCACTTTTTTTGCTCCATTTGGGCCTTGGGCAGATTGGATGAGGTCCACTCACATAGGGGAGGGCAAGCTGCTTTACTCGGTCTACTGATTCAAATGTCGATCTCATCCAGAAACATCCTCACAGACACACCCAGAATAATGTTTAACCAAATATTTGGGTACTTCATGGCCCAGGTAAGTTGACACATAAAATTAACCGTCATAGTATGTCATTACATTAAACTTGGATTTATTTATTTTTTTTAATGAGGCTGGGAGTGGTGGCCTATGCCTGTAATCTCAGCACTTTAGGAGGTCCAGGCAGGAGGATCACTTGAGCCCAGGAGTTAGAGACTAACCTGGACAACATGGCGAAACCTTGTCTCTACTTTAAAAAAAATTTTTTTAAGGAAAATAAATGATATTATATACATAACAAAATTGATTTTATAGAGTCTCACTATGAATTCAGAATGATTTAATTTCTTGATAAGGCAAGTAAATATAACTCTATTTGTTCGTGACAGGTTCTATCTATAAATCCAAGCTATTGAGGAAAATTTTTAAATAAAGTAACTTTAAAAATTTTAAATAAAGTAGGTTGTGTGTTTGGTTATTTTGTTTGTTATTGTGTCTCTCTACCCCATCCCATCATCTGGAAGTTTCAAAAGCACAACAGCAAAAAAGGAACTTGATTTTTAAAGATTATATAATGGTGGCAGAAATGTCAAGTGATAAGGAAGAGCAAAAGAGGAAACACAAAATATTGCAGTGATAGAGAAGATGTCAAAAAAACTAGGTCAATGTTTGACTTCATTCACAGTTGCTCCTCAAATATGACATTGCCTTGAGGATAGAGTGCCCTCAAATTAGCACACATTCTGATTAGGATAGCAGGGCCCAATAGCCAGTGTTAAAGAAAAAAAATATGTTTTCTAGTCTTGTCATAACATATATGAAATAAACAGGAAAAAATTATAAATTAAATATGTTTGGAATCATCAATAATCCAGCATATTTTATTCATCCGTTAAATGTGTGTACTTCATTAAGTTATGATAGGTGTCAATTGCTTGATTCAAAACTTCTTTACTCTGATATTGAAGAATTTTATAATGTTAACTGGTCTTACCAAAACTGGACCAATAAAGAGTCAAAACACAGTTATTGTCCTCATTGAATTTACAGGCATAAACCACATCATAACATAAAAAACTATAAAACTGCATCTTTGATTAGTGCTATGAAGGAAGATTGAGTTGTTCTATAAAAAATTTAATGGTGGGATTTGTGACTTAGATAATTCAGTGAAGACATTGTTCAAGTAGATGAAGAATAGAGACAGGAAATAGACTGTGCAAAGGCCCTATGGCAAAGGGAGCATGTCAAGGACAAGGGACTGAACAGGCCAGGGTAATAGCAGTAGAAAAAGTGCATTAAATTATGGCTCATGTTGACATTAGAGAGGTGGATGTTTGGCCAACTATGCCAGGTCCCAAGAACCACTGAAAATTTGTAAATGGAAACAATGGATTGGAAGAGATTCAAGTGAATGTGGGTAGACTAGATAAAAGGTTATCTCAGTTGAAAATATGAGAGTAGGGTAGTACCAGAGAAAATGGGAAGAGTTATTTATATTTGAGAGTTATTTGGAAGTAAAATTGGCAATACTTGGTAATGGATTTGATGCAGGGAATGGGAGAAATTGAAATGTTATAAACCTTTTGAGGTTTCTGAGTAAAGTCATACAACAAAAACTCCACTCAGACAGAAAGCTCAAAATATAGCTTTGAATAAGTCCAAGGATTATTTATAGTAATTGAGGACAGGAGTAAATACTTATTATACTGTAATTTGTATGAGTTGACAATAATTCGTGTGCCCCACTAGAGCAGGAGGAGGTATTCTTGTACCATCTTGTTATAGTTCTTAAGACACTATCATTCCTGGTTGATCTATCTCTTTCTCTAGACTGTGAGCTCCATAAAGGTAGACAGTAGGTTTTTATTATATCTCTTGCAGGCAATCTAGTTTCTGGCATGGTAACCACTCAAATATTTGCAGAGTGAAGTAATTAGGTCATGACTTAAACTTTAAATTTTTTTATTTTCCAAATTAATTTTACTGTAGTTATACAATTTAAAGGTCTTTTTTTTTTTTTTTTTTTTTTTTGAGACACAGTCTCGCTCTGTAGCCCAGCTGGAGTGCAATGATGCAATCTCGGCTTGGCTCACTGCAACCTCCGCCTCCCAGGTTCCAGTGATTGTCTCGCCTCAGCCTCAGCTGGAATTACAGGTGCCTGTCACCACACCCAGCTAAATTTTGTAGTTTTAGTAGAGACAGGTGTTCACCATGGTGGCCAGGGTAGTCTCAAACTCCTGACCTTAAGTGATCCGCATGCCTTGGCCTCTGAAAGTGCTGGAATTACAGGTGTGAGCCACTGCACCCAGCCTTAAATAAGTTTTAATGTAAAATTTTTCTAGATTCAAAATTTCGAGATAATAACTTTATTTCCTCATTTATATTTAAACCCTATTATTGCTGCATTACTGATTATGGTCAGATTTAACTGTTCGAATAATGATAACCACCACCACCACATGCTAGTTGTGATGATTAATTTTAGGTATCAACCTGACTGGATTAATGAATATATAGACAAGTGGTAAAGCATTATTTTGGGGTGTGTCTGTGAGGGTGTTTCTAGAGGCGACTGGAGTGTGAGTCTGTGTGGACTAAGTGGGAAAGATTCACCCTCAATGTGGGTGGGCACCATCCAATCAGCTGGAGGCCCAGACAGAACAAAACAGAGGAAAAGTGAATTGGTCTCTCTGTCCTAAAGTTGGGATACACTCTTCTGCCGTTGGACATGAGAATGCCAGGCTCTCCAGCCTTTCGATATCAGGACTCACATCAGCTCTCCTCTGGGTTCTCAGGCCTGCATACTTGGAATGAGCCACGCTACTGGCACCCCAGGGTCTCTAGTTTGCAGACGGCCTGTCCTGTGACTTCTCAGCATTCAAAATTGCATGAGCCAATTCCCCTAATAAATCCCCTCTCCTGTATCTATATCTATATTCTATTGGTTTGGTCTCTCTGGAGAACCTTAACTAATACGGTAGCATAGGGTATAGTCATAGGTGTCCATCTAGGAGACTGAGTAATTTTGTATCACCCAGCATAGTGTTTTTTAGCATACTTTAAGAGTTATGGAATAAATTAACACAGACCTCTAGCTAGTTACAGATGGTAAAAGACCCACTAATTTTTCATTCTAGTCAGCAGATGGCAGTGTTTTACTTTATTTAGTTAACTGAGGTTTGTTTCCTGAGTCTTGCAACACAATTTTAACTTAATCCATGAAATAACACAGTATTTTTGAGTTAACTTTCTACTTTTTGAACCATAAATAAATGTTATAGAATACGAGTTGTTTTAGGTTTTAAAAAATCACACATTTTTTAGTCAACTTGAGCTCTCTTAAACTCTTTAAATTTGCTTTTTACTTTAATTGCAAACAATTGTTCTCATTTTTGTAAATACGAAAACCCTGTTTATTTACTTTATTCCTTAGCTTTATTTCTAAGAAAGGTCAACGCTGAACAGTAATTCTGGAAATTAAGTCTAAATTATATTTAACCGAAGATGGCACAGTTAAAAGTTTCTTTGGTTGAGTTTGTCTCCTCTGAGATGAGCCCTGTCAATTCTGAAGTTACGGGACTTGAGACTGAGTCAGGAGACCTGGATTTCATTCAAATTGCTACAAAGTTTGCACTAGATGAGCTACACTGAGCCACTTGAATAATTTTTCACTACAATTTTAAATGAGTGAAATAAGCTCAATGTGTATACTACTATACAGTTGACCCTTGAACAACACCAGGGTTAGGAGTGCTGATGCCCTCCCTGGCCTCTGCACAGTTGAAAATCTGTGTGTAATATTTGAATCCCTGAAAATTTAACTACTAATAGTCCACTGTTGACCAGAAGCCTTACTGATAACATAGTTGATTCATATATATTTTGTGTATGTATTATATACTTACCTTTACAATAAAGCCAGAGAAAAGAAAATGCTATTAAGAAAATCATAAAGAAGAGAAAATACATTCATGATTCATTAAGTGGAGAAGCATCATCATAAAGGTTTTCATCCTCATCATCTTCAGGTTAAATAAGCTGAGAAGGGGGAGGAAGAGAAAGAGTTGTTCTTGATGTCTCGGTGGTGGCCAAGGTGGCAGAAAATCTGCACAGAAGTGGATTTGCATAGTTCAAACCTGTGTTGTTCAAGGGTCAAGTGTATTTATCCTGTAAAAACATTGTAAGTATACTGGTTCTAAAAGTCTGAACTCTCCACAGAGAAACATACAGGAACTTAAGATGAAGAGGACCTTTAAGTAGAAATAGAATTTATTAATAATCGAAGCCTTCAACCCCCGTCTCTATTATAGTGCTGATAATTATGATGAACAAGGGCAAAACATGACACTATTCTCTTTCCTCCTGTGAGCCTGTAACTCTTTAAAGTTTAAAGAAGCTTTATTACATATTACTTACTTAAGTATAAAGAAAAACAATACATCGAGCTACACACATGCCCCTTCCCAAAACAAAACAAACTCTCCAGTACCTCTTTTGAATGTACTTATAAGAAAAATAACAGAAAAAGTCTCTAATTAGAACTTTCTAAAAGCATTTCTCCCCAGTTAGAGTGCAGTAATGACTATAAATGGCCCTGTCTCAGGGACAGCTCATCAGTCAATTATAAGCAGTTCTGTAAATTGAGGAGTGAAGAATGATACTAGATTTCAATCAGTGCAGATAAACATGGCTTGTCATTATTCACTTGATATTTTAGACAGTCCACCTAAAGAGGAAGATGCAGAACAGAGATATTGTCTTTTCTAGAGAACGGAGATTATAAGAACATTTACCTAAGACTATATTCTTTTCTGGAATATGGTTTTCATAGACACTCAATTCCCATAATCCCCAGAGACGTTCATTGGCTTGCCCAGTTTGTTTCCATCTGGTCCTTTCAAACCAGGAAAAACAATATGGTAATTCTATTGTTGCATCTAGTAGCCTGGAAAAATGGAAATATATATTTAATATAATTCTTACATAATATAGTGGCTCAGTAATTTTTAAATATGTCAATTAACACTTCCATTCCTTTTGATTTTTGTGTCACAGCATCATTTAGCACTCTATGTTTTGGAATAAATATCTCAAAATTCTAATTACATATACTCACCTCTGGGATAATGCTAGCTGACCAAGTTTAAATTATTTCTTGTATAGTCTGAAAAGCAAACATATTAACAAAAAGTTAACATAAAGTAAGTAATTGTTTAAATAGCAAACTGTTAATATGTATTAACAATTTTCCAAAATTGCTCTTTTCTATTATTTTTTCTTCCTCTTACTTTTAGATATTTTTCATGAACCCTTTATCTCCATTTTCCTTCATTTAAAATTATGCTTCACTCATTCATGTTCATAAGAATTTTCAATCATGTTAAAAGCAAATATGAGTTCTGTTTGCTTATTGTCACAGATAGCCTCTTGGTTATTATTCTCCACAATCACCTTATTCATGAATTGTAAGTTGGAGATCAGCCTCCCAGTGCAGAACTGTTTAGAAATAGCCCTTCACGCTTGCTCCTCTATTCCCAGAGGAGTTTGCTGCACATGCCTAGATCTCTTTCCATCTGGCCTCTGCACAAAGGGTTTATCCCACTTTAACACAATTCTTTGTATTATAGAGGACCTTGACTTTATCTGAGAGTGAGTACATACGAAACAATAATCATGTTGCAGGAAAAACTGATTTGACCATTTTTTTTTCATACTCGAATCCTAAGATGACAGTGAAACTACACTTAGCCGGCAACAAAGACCAAAGGTAAGGCTGTAATGATGACAGAGCTGTAAAAAAGTAAATGTGAAGGGTCTGATTTTTCCATTATTACAGTACTTACATTTATGTGGCTTCAGTAAAAAGGAAAAAAAAAAACTTGGTACATTTATTTTTACGTCTATCACTGAAAAACCTTTGAGTTTGTAAGACATTAATATGAAAATAGCTGCATTTGCATACTGATAGATTTGTGAACTTTATTGCAATATATTTTTTAACAGAAAAATATAATTATAGTATTTTAAAATGTAACTCTTTCCTCCCTCAGTGTAAATCAAATCACAATGACAAGAATCCTGAAACCTCTAATTGAAAATCTTCCTTTAAAAATGCATGGTGGTCTTAATGTTTAAAAGAAGTCAGCCTATTTTCTCAGTGTATATTCATGTTATCTAACGTTCTTTTTTCTCCAATTATTATACATACAGTTTTATAAGCGAATATTTAAGAGTCAAGAATTTTGTGGTATTTTGCCTAGAAATAGACTGGAAGAACACAAAATCTAAATAAAGAATAAACACCAAAAGGCCAAAAGGAAAGAAAGAACAACAAAAAAAGTACATGCACAAGCACATACACACACCCATATAGGTGCTTTGTTTGTAATAATTTATTTCAAAATGTGTTGTACAATGCTGTCTCAAATACTTCATTTGGGTTTAAAAGAGTTGTAGATGTTGGTATAGGTTGTTGATTTCAAATGGAAAAATTATTGGCATTGAAAGATGGCAACTGAAATCTTGAGCCTAACTGGGTTAATTAAGGTTACTTCGTGAGGATTAAATAAAAATATCAGAATTCTGCTCTGCCCCCCACCAAAGGATATAGGATTTTCACTAAAATATGTTTTTAGGTTTGTTTTGGCATATTCTTTTCAAAGAGATTTGAAACTCTTAAATTTTTATAATTACAATATCTTATATTTGAACTTTCAAAACATTACTCGTTTTGAAGTAGAATCTAAAACTACATTTAAAAACATTTCTGCCTACATTTGGTCTGTTTAAGGCACTAACCTTTGAACACTGGTCTTATTTTGAAAGGGCAAGGTGCTTTTTTTTTTTTTTAATAGCCAGTGCCCAAGAGAAGCAAAAACTGTGACCCCCTCCCCCCCACGCCACACAGTGTTCACATATGTCATCTGTGTTTGTTAGCAATGTTACCTCCAAGTTTGTTACCTTGGAGTAATTGACGAGTAAATCATTACAAATGGGTCCAACTCTAAAGGCAAAATTGTCAAAAAGAAGAAAACAGCAAATCCAACTTGCCTTATGTTTATTAGAGGAAATCCTGAAACTTCTGTAGATTGCAGTGTTAGGAAAAACAAGTTTGTCATTAGAGCGATGTTATGACCACTTCCCCACTCTAACTGTTGTTTAAGGGAGTCCACTTCTAACTGCTGACTCAGTTTGTCTTCACTGCCAGAACTGAAGCGTGACCCAAATTGTCTACTGGGTTGAGTAGGAACAAACGGACAAACTGATGATCACTTGGCAGTTCTAGGTTTACTAAAGAATACTTATTTGGTCTAAACACTGTTTGTTGGGACTGCAAAGGTATAAACAATGCCCCTCCCAGGAAGGAAAAGGAAAACCTAAAATCTTAAGCAATGGACTCAAGGTCAGTGACGGAAGGCACCATTTGAGACCGAGCTCCTCAACTCCAGTCCCATAATGGACCGGAGCCACACAGGAGAGCGTGCAGGAGTTTCGAAGCTGCGTAGTAAAATAGCTGGCGTGGGCAGTTCTTTTATACTCTGGCTAGAGTAAAATTAACGCAGCTTTGCGTTTCTCCATCGCCGCTGTCAGCATCCAGCTAAAGGGTATAAGGTTAAGGAAAGCGGAACCCAGTTGTCCTTTCTCAGCTGAGTCCTTTGAGAAACTGGGACTGAGAAGGGTGAGCGCCGCGGAGAGGGGCAGGGGTGGGAGAGGGGAGAGGGGAGCGGGGCGGGGAAGAGGCGCGTCTGGGGTTGAAGTCCAGCTGGAAGCATCCAGCGGCGCTGCCTGCAGACGGGGGCGAAGGCAGCCGCTGAGAGTGAGGGGAGAGGGGGAAGCCAAGGGAAGGGAAGGAAGTAAGGAAAGAGGAAGGAAAGGCAGGAGGGGGTAGAAGCTGAGCGGCTGCAATTTCTGCGGCCGGCTCAGTAGGAGGAGCAGGAGGGGAAAGAGGAGGATCCAGAGTCAGTCAGTCAGGCAGCCAGCGGGAGGTGGAGAAAGCAGGAGGAGGAGGAGGATTAAAGATGGCCACCAACAGCTGCGGGAAACGGCAACAACCCCTCACTTTTCGGGATGGTCCCTGCGGGTCGGCCCGGCCTTAATGGAGAGACGAAACCCGAGGAGCGCCGAGGCTGAGGCGGCGGCGGCGGGGACCCAGCGAGGACGAGGACGCGGCAGAGCAGAGACGGGGGCAGGAGAAGGGAAAGGCGGCAGCGTCGCTGCCCCTGCCGCCTAGCATCGCTGCCTGGCCCGGCGGATCGGTTCCCATACCTCGCGGCCGCAGAATCGAGCCCGGGCCCCGGCCCCCGGCCCGCGCTGCGGGGCTCCTGGGCCCCGCCGCGGACGTCGCGCCGGTCGCCCATTCCCCGTAGCCCGTGCGTCCCCGGCGCGGAGCCTCGGCCTGCCGCGGTCCCGGCTCCCGGGCCCGGCCCGCCCGCGCCCTCCGCCGGCCCTCAGGTGAGTGCCCCCGCCATCCTCCCCGCCCCCCGCGCTCCCGGAGAGGCGGCGCAGCCTCGGCCCGGCGCGCCCGGCCGCTTTGTTCGTGCGGGGCGGAGGCGCTGCCCACTCGCGGCCCTGCGCCCGCTCCCCCTAGGGACAGGCCGCGGCCCAGCTGCTGTCCTCCCCAGGGTCCGCCTTGGCCCGCAGCCGCCGCCGCCGCCAGGGTTGGCTGCCTGGCGCGAGTCCTCCGCTGCGGCCTGGGGAGGGCGCCGTCGCGATCGGGTCGGGGTCGGGGTTGGGGTCACGGGCGGCGGGCTGAGCGGAGCGGAACCGGGGTATTTAGGGGGATAGGGGAGGAGAGGACTGGACGTTACCTCTGGGAAGCAGTGGGGGCGTAACCTGGCGGCCCTGGCTCGCAGGGGTAGGGGATCAGGCCCTGGCTCCCCCTCTGCATCCCACGGGGTCTCAGCTCCCGGAGCCCCCCCCCCCGCACCGGACGCAGCCGAGCGCGGCCTATATTCCTCGGGCGCTGTCTCCAGGGCTTCGGGCCTCTCCCCCTACGCCCTGTGCTGGAAACCCTTCGATTATGGAAGGAACCAGAGATGCTCCAGTTCTCTTGTACTGGGGATGCGGTGGCATCTCAAACATTCACAGTTACGGCGGGGTTTAAAACGCAGATGTGACCTTTCCGACCAAAGGCCATCTGGCTAGTGTTTGAGCCTCAGGTGCAGCTTTTCGTTGAGTTTTACCATTTAATTCTGCAATCTGCAATATCAGGTCTTCCTTTCACAGAAGCAATGTGATACAATCAGATTGAAAGGGTATTTACTGCATATGTGAACCCTTGCATGGACTTCCAGTACCTTAAAAATGGTTAAGTGTTTTCTGTGGGAAAATGGTGCTCATGCATACGAAAAACTATTTTGGTTCAGTAATGGTTGCCAACTGGTTTACCATGTAGTTTGAAAACCAAACAATTGAAAAGGAAAAACAAAACCCTATTATTTGGGCGTTTTAAATAGTGGCATATTTCCAGGTTGGTATTTGGTAGCAGGTTGAGAACAACTGATTTCGACTATCAGGCGACATAACAAACAACATAAAATAGAACCAAAAATATGCTAGTTTATAGAAAAACATGTTGTATTAGTGCATAAGTCTAGTAAAAAAATCCCACTTAAAAAAAGATAAAACTTTATCATGAGACTCTTAATATATATTACATTAGAATTGAGAACTCTTCCTGCGATATTTGAACAATAGTAGAGTATGTTAACACTTTGAACCATTCTATCTCAAGCTGCTAGAAAGGTAAGTTTCTGCTGCTAGTTTCTTTCCATGAGTTAAAATGGATTCATCTGAAATATAAGCATGCTTTTCGTGGGGCACAGTGGGTCATGCCTGTCATCCCAGCACTTTGGGAGGCCAGGGCTGGGGGACGACTTGAGGCCAGGAGTTAGAGGCCAGCCTGGGCAACATAGAGAAAACAATTTTTTTAAAGAAAAAAAAGTTTCTAAAAATTTATATCACCTCCAAAAAGGAGGGATAAATTAGAAAATACAATGTTCTATTCTTGCAAAATCTGTTTTTAAAAAAGTAAATGACAGTATAATATTTCATTATTAAGTTGGGTTCTCTACTTTGAAGAGATTCTTAAATTCCACTGCTCAACTTTGCAATTTTAAAAGTTTATATCAGTTGTTCTTAATTTCTTTCTTTCTTTTTTTAGAGATAGGGTCTTGCCCTGTCACCCAGGCTGGGGTATAGTGGCATGATCATGGTCCACTGTAGCCTTGAACTTCTGGGCCCAAGTGATCCTTCCACCACAGCCTCCCAAGAAGTTAGGACTACATGTGCATGCCACCATGCCTGTCTGATTTTTGTAGTTTTTGTAGAGACGAGGGTCTCCCTGTGTTGCCCAGGCTGATCTTGAACTCCTGGCCTCAAGTGATCCTCCTGCCTTAGCCTCCCTAAATGCTGGGATTACAGGCGTGAGCCACCATGCCCTGCTTCTTTGTTAATTTCATGCATATGCTTCTGAGGGTCCTTGGCTCCCCAGAAATCATATGCAGAATATAGCATATATTTGAATTTTTCCTAGATGAAGAGTCTGTGTGGTGATCGCATTCTCAAAATGATATGGCTCTGTAAAACATTATGAACTTCTAGATAGAAAATTAAAGGATAAATATTCCATATTTGGAAAGCTAAAATTTTTAAATTACATTTGATGATTTATGTCCTTCATTTCTGATTATGCCCAAGAAATGTTTGTGATTAAGAGTTCAGCACATAGACGTTGTTTCTAACACATTCTCATTTAAATTGAAGGAAAATATTAATCCCATTTTACAGTTGGGGAAATAGAACAAGTTGTTTTAAGGTCATGCAAACACTGGTGGGCCAACATGTGAACCCAGATTGTCTGAAGTCAGAGCCAGCATTCATAACCAGGGTATACTAGACTTTGATCGGTAATACCATTTGATTGATGTAAAAATAAGTAATTGATGTTTTAGTTAGAATTGCAAAGTATATCTGAGATTATCATAGCATACAATATCATGAGATTTTGGAGCCCTGGACTCCCAGTATGAAGAGATCTTAATGATACTAACCTCATGTTAATGACACTAGTCTGAAATCACACCCGAAGTAGGGTCATTTCTACAGCATCCTTGGAAGGATCATCCACCTCTGATTTTAGTCTTTCCTATGATTACAGATTTCCCCTCTTCTTTTTTTTTCTTGACTTTTTTTTTTTTTTTCTCTCTCTCTCTTTTGAGACGGAGTCTTGCTGTGTCGCCCAGGCTGGAGTGCAGTGGCATGATCTGGGCTCACTGCAACCTCTGCCTCCCAGGTTCAAGAGATTGTTGTGCCTCAGCCACCCAAGTGGCTGGGACATATAGACCCTGGCCACCATGCCTGGCTAATTTTTGTATTTTTAGTGGAGACAGGGTTTTACCCTGTTGACGAAGCTAGTCTCGAACTCCTGAGCTCAAGTGATCTGCCTGCCTCTGCCTCCCAAAATGCTGGAATTACAGGCTTGAGCCACTGTGCCAGGCCTTTCTTTTTTCTTTTTTTTTTTTTTAAACATTTTAAACCTATATTTCTGTGTATATCAAGTCAAAATCGGCCTTCCTGATATTTACACTGATAAATCCTGTTCTCCCTTGGTGTGTGTGGTGTATTTATCATCCATGAAATGATTAAAAAATAAATGATGACCGGGCATGGTGGCTCACACCTGTAATCCCAGCACTTGGAGAGGCCGAGGCTGGTGGATCACCTGAGGTCAGGAGTTCGAGACCAGCCTGGCCAATATGGTGAAACCCCATCTCTTCTAAAAATACAAAAATTAGCTTGGCATGGTGGTGTGCACCTGTAGTTCCAGCTGCTCAGGAGGCTGAGGCAGGAGAATAGCTTGAACCGGGAGGTAAAGGTTGCAGTGAGCCGAGATCGCACCGCCGCACTCCAACCTGGGTAACAGAGCGAGACTCCATCTCAAAAAAGAAAAAAAAAAAAAAAAAGAAAGAAATGGCTTCTACTTTAATGTTTTAATGTTTATTGAAGCATAATTTACATGTAGTAAAAGTTTAACAAATGTCTATAATTGGATAGTCTCCACCACAGTCAAGACATAAAGGATGTTTCCATTACTCTAAAAAGTTCCCTCATGGCCTGTCATGAGTCAGTGCTCTCCCTCTACACCCCCAGCCCCTGAAAACCATTAATTTAATTGATGCTCTTAAAGTTTTATCTGGTCTAGCATATATAAATGGAATTATACATTACATAGCCTTTCGTATTCTCTTGCACTTAGCATAATGCTTGATATTTATTAAGTTGTTACATGTATCAGTAGTTTGTTCAGTGATGTGCTGGGAAATGTTTTAACAACATGCTCTTCAGAAAAAAAAAAAAAAAGAATCCCTGATTTGTGGCATTTGCTAATCATTGTAGTGTAAACACTCTCACTATGGCCTAAATTAAGCTATCAGCTCACAGAATTCCTGAAAATTTAACAATGGGCTCCCATGAGCTGGTACCAGCCAGCTCCAGCACAGTTCCTGTTTTTGTTGAGTAACATGGTTTTACAGCAGGGTAACACAATTTGTTCATCCATTCCTAAACTGATGGATATTTGAGTTGTTTCTAGTGTTGGTCAAATATGAATAAAGCTGCTATAAATATTTGCATATAGGTCTATGTGAGGGACAAAAATGTTCAGTTTTCTTGAATTAATACCTAGGAGTGGGATTTTTGGGTCCTAGGATAAGTGTATATTTATTAATATCAGTGACCTTTTTATTGAACTACTGAATTGTTTTCCTAAATGGTGATATCATCTTACATTCCTACAGCAATATCTGAGAGTTTCAGTTGCTTTGCATCTTTGTCAGCACTTGGTATTATCAGTTATTAAAACTTTAGCCACTTATTATGTGTGTAGTGATCTCCTTTAAATTTTTTTACTCTTATTTTCAGTAGTGTTTAGATTCAACCTAGAAAGTTTATGATAGATGTTTCTAAAAAAATAATTTTCTTGCCGGGCGCGGTGGCTCAAGCCTGTAATCCCAGCACTTTGGGAGGCCGAGACGGGTGGATCAAAAGGCCAGGAGATAAAAACCATGGTGAAACCCCGTCTCTACTAAAAATAGAAAAAATTAGCCAGGCGAGGTGGCGGGCGCCTGTAGTCCCAGCTACTCGGGAGGCTGAGGCAGGAGAATGGCGTGAACCCGGGAGGCGGAGCTTGCAGTGAGCTGAGATCCGGCCACTGCACTCCAGCCTGGGTGACAGAGCGAGACTCCGTCTCAAAAAAAAAAAAAAAAAAAAAAAAAAAATTTTCTTTAGCTTGGGCATCAGTTATGATCTCACTATGAAGGCTGCAGCCTTTGAAGGCTGTTTGTTGAGTTTTTACTGTGCACTCACCTTCCATGTTGTGAAAATTACTTTTTGTGAAGGCATCATCATTAGGGAATTATTCTAATGCTTAGCTGTTAACAATTTTAAAAATGAACCATTTTAAACAGGTAGATAAAGCTCGGTTTAAAAAATTAGAATTAAGAAATTTATCATAAAGAATTTTTTTTCAATTTTGACTTGGACTTCAAGGGAAAAAAAGATTCTTTGTGGCTCCCCGTATGCCAACACTTTGCTTTAATGGGATTTCACCAAGTTCTATAAACTCATTCAATTGTTTTTTATTTTAAAATCTTGAGGACTGTTAAGTTAGTTACTACTCTTTCTGAAACCACAGTATCAAAATCTATTTTTTTTTGAGACAGAGTCTTGCTTTTGTCGCCCAGGCTGGAGTGCAGTGGCATGATCTCGGCTCACTGCAGCCTCCACCTCTCGGGTTCAAGCGAGTCTCCTACCTCAGTCACCTGAGTAGCTGGAATTACAGGCATCTGCCACCATGCCTAGATAATTTTTGCATTTTTAGTAGAGACAGGGTTTCACTACGTTAGCCAGGCTGGTCTCGAATTCCTGACCTTGTGATCCGCCCTGCTCGGCCTTCCAAAATGCTGAGATTACTGTGCCTGGTCAAAATCTGTCTTTGAAATTTCATAGTTTTAGTGTGGACAAATGATTAAATTACATATACCTCATATCAACATTTAATTTTCAAATAGTAAAATACTGGGTTGCCCCGTTGGAATAAGATATCATTCATTCAGAAGGTGATATGAAATAAAACCCTTAGAAGAGTAACCTGCCAGGTGCAGTGGCTCATATCTGTAATCCCAGCACTTTGGGAAGCAAAGGTGGGTGAATTGCTTGAGCTCAGGAATTCGAGATCAGCCTAGGCAACATAGTGAGACCACTTCTCTTTTTTAAAATAAGAAGAGTAACCTTATAAAAGACATAGTCATGTTAGATTGTAAATAAAGATAGCTATATTCACAGTTTGAGTACCCTGTAATAATGAAAGATGCTTGTTTAAACATCTCAACAGTTCTCATAGAAAATGGATAATTTGTTCGGTCATTGATTCATACATTTGTTCATATACATGCACAAATATGTTGTGCATGTAGGATTCAAGGTCCTTATCATGATAGAGCTTACAGTTCAGTGGAAGAGACTGTTGAACAGGGTATCACATACGTGAGGTGTGGGTGCTGTAGGTACGTACATATGGTGTGGAGGTGGGGTGGGCATGAAACTCAGACTTCAAAGTTTGGCAGGACTTCCAGGAGGAAACATTGTCTTCATTGAGAAATCTGGAGATTGAGTAGTTAGGGGAAGTGGCTGTGTAGCATTAATAGAATGTACAGTTATTCAGAGATGAGAGAAAATGCAAATAGTAAACATATCAGGAATATTGTTTTCAAATAACAGGCCTCTAAAGCCTACATTTCTTGCGCCTATCCAGTCTTAGTTGTAATTAGGAAAGTTAATGGGAAGTAAAACTGGGTAAAAACCGAAAAAGCAAACTTTTACTATATTATTGAGG